TGTCAACATGTTTTCGAAGCAGGAAAGGAGCACTAAGCTAAATGGCTGGAATTCCTGGAGGATATAGCAGTGGTGCAGTTTAAATCCCGCCGAAAGAAGAGGAATGACCGTGATGATTCCAGAGCACCCAGTGCTCTGAGTTACCCAAGAGCAAATGCTGCAGTGTACCAGCTTGCAGGCCACAAGTACCTGCAAATCTGGGCATTCTGTGTACCAGCACCTCCCATATCCCAAAGCAAGAGGTGTTTTCATCCATGCAACTTGCATCATACAGTTTAGATGTATTAGTGGGACAGAATAAATAACTTGCATTTATTCAGTTGATATACCACTTCCCTATCAAAACCATTTCTAAGTGAAGGTATCTTTACCCTCACTGAATATACAAAATCCACTGATTTGGAGATTGGTGATGATGTAAGCTGGGTTCATAAGCCATAAGATAGTTTGATTGGTTTTGTCATAGGTATAAATATAGTAATTGCACTTTGTGTATTATGGTTTATGGCACAGCGTGATGTATGAGCCAAGCTGCTATGGGTTGTTTGGCAAACTGGGCAAAACAAAAACAAGTAACACTTATTTAGCGCAGTGCTAGCCTAGACATAAGGCTTAGGCCAGCTTTCCTCATCATAGCATCCTCTGCAGGCACTGGACCCCAATTTCCATTTCCTCTGGTGTAATCCATCAAGGAAAGTACTGGCTGGAGATGATTGAAATTATAGACCAACCTACTGGGAAACTACCAAACTGAGAAAATCCTGGCTCACTGAGTTACTAAGCAGCCCCAAGGTTGCTTCTTCCAGACAACCCCAATGACAGAAATAAGTTGCTTTTACAAATAGCAACACTAACACCAGAAATACCTTCACCAGCTATTGCCTTGGGTCACAAAACACACTAGATTACGCTAATAGCTAATACTGCGCAGAATCTGTGTCAGGCATATACATTTCAATAAATAAATAAATAAATAAATAGGCTTATTTGTTTTTTTGGCTCCATTCACTTAACGTGGGGAAGGCCATCCTGTTAAAGGCACATTTAAGTCAATCTACTTAGTTGTAACGTGTTATATGAAGATAGCAAATGGAGTTTTGTTAACCTGGGTTTAATATGTTGTGTGAACCCAGCCATTGTTTTAAGCCAGGATTTAATGATGCCTTAGTGAATGAACTATAATTGTTTGGGTTTATGCAACACACCAAGCCCAAACCAGACAAACTACATAGTATAATATTGGAATCAGAATACTGAAATGTTACATCCATCATCTTTAGCATTGGGACCTGCACTTTGTGACTGTCTTCATTTTTGTACAGGAAAGCAGTGTATAAAATAGTTTTCTGCACCTGCACAAGCAGCTCAGTTTAGTGAGCTCTACATAGCTCTTTCCTTTTTCAGTGAAATCTTGCCTTTTTCTACCTGTAAGCATGTAGGGCCAGCTAAGTGATCAGCAAATGTAAATCTAGGTGGTGGTAGCAGAACAAGCACAAAACCAGTTAGGGGAGTTTTCTAGAAAGCTGATGGTGTGGCAGGAGGGGGGAGGTAGAATCAACTCTAAAAGCAACTCTTTTTATTTTGGGTGCCTTTTGCAAATGTGAGAATTCTCAGATGCCTCTTCTCCTGGTGAGAGGGTGGTGGCCGGATTTCTCTCTGCCCGTGTGTTTCCTAGCAGTCATGGAGGGGAGCCCTGCTGCTGGTCCCATTCTGCAGACTGAAGTAGGAAGGAAATTCCTTCACTCAGAAATGCCTCCTAGGATTTGAGCCCCAGCTGCTCTGGCTCAAACAGATTTTACTCCCGGAAAATGTGCCATGCCTTCCTGCAGTAAAACTATGCTACACAATAAGGTGTTTTTCTTCCCTTTTTTTTTTTCCTGTTCAAAATTGTTCCTTTTCGTTTTAAGGAAGCAATAAATCAATAAAAGGAGAAATCAATTAAAAGGGAAAGAGATGGGAATGAGAAGCAAACAAAATGTTCTGAAAGACGGTTGTGCCTTCTGTACTTTTCTTGCTTTGCCTGTCTCATGGGAGGGTGCTGGGTCTTCCCCTCTCTGCTATCCATGAAGCAGCACTCCCCGTGGCCCCCCCTCCCGGGATGATCAGGCAGCTTAAAGAGGCCAGATCATTCTGGCCCCCAATTGCTGTGCCTGTAGTCTGGGATAGCCTGTCACATCCATGTGATACATCCCTAAAACTCTTGAAATCCTGACTATTTGGAGATATACACTGCAATCCTGCTGATGTGGTCTTTAAAAAATCCATTCAGCTAAATCCCCTTTGCTGAGTAGAACCACCACAAAGCTGATAAATGACAGCAAACAATAACATTCAATATATATATTTTTTCCTTCTAAAAAAAGGAGAGTATGGCAGCAATAAATAGAGCCTTTGTTTTAAAACACAGTATATAAGTGTTTAACATCTTACAGGCCAGCTGGTGATGGTAGTGGTAACAACTCATTTCCCATAGCAAAGGTTTCCAAAAATGTAGAGGGATCACAAAAGAAAGCCTTGTCACTGATCCTTTCCATTTTCACAGCCTTCAGTGGTTTGGAAGAGAGCAGAGCCCCATGGTTAATCCTAAGGATCAGGCCCACTTTTATAATTGCAGGCATTTATTTTTGCATTTGTATCCAGCCTTTTCTCAAAGAGCTTAAGGAAGCACTTCTTATTTTATCATCACAACAACCGTCCTGTGGGATAGGTGACTGATCCAGAGTCTCCCATGAAATTGAATGGGGAAAGAACCTGGCCTTCTCCAGTCTAACAACTTAACCACTGCATTGCACTGGGCTTTCTCCTATCTGGTGAGTTAAGGACCTAGGACAATCTCCAGATAAACCATACTGTCTCTCAGGTTTCATGGTCTGAAATTGTTTAGAGGTAGTCATTTCCAACCTGGTACCTGATGGATGTATTAGATTACGGTACCCATCATCCCTCTACCATGACCATTGGGAGCATGAATGTGATCATTTTCCAAAGCCCTAGAATCCAAATTTGGCCTTTTCCTAAACAATTTGATGGCTAATGCATTTAAAACATGGCATCTCCATCCTTTAGTGAGAAATTCCTCACTTCAGTTGTCCTTAGAGGCCCAACAAGCCATAGTAACCAAGAATCCAAAGAGAAGGTGATGAATCTTAGTTTTCCAAGCAGTTTGTCTACCCTCAGAGCATGAGACCTATCAGCATCCCCTTCCCCCCATTTCAGAATTATTGGGACCACTTGCTTCCAAGGACAACATCAATTATTGGGACCAGGTGCTTCCAAGGACAACATCAATGCCTTATACTTCAGAGGGATTTAAGCATCCATCTCATCCCTTAAAATTCTGCCCCTCCTCCTAACCAGATCCTGGCCCCATTCACTTTTGGAGTGTGGCCCTTGGCATACTACACAAAACATTGTGTGCTGCTGAGCTGGACTAGGGTCTTTGTCAGGCTATTGTCTAATTGGATAGAAAATCTCTTAAAGACCAGAAAACCTTCTGGATCCATGGAAAGTGGTCTCTTCCTATTCTGCACAGTCATCCTGTAATCCAAAACTGATTGCATAGGAATTTGTCCAAAAAAATAGGGTTAACTCAGCTATAAAAGGTTACGTGAGGGTTCAGCCTTTAGTTTCCCCCACAGACTTTACAGTACATCAGTTTTTAAAAAGTATGTGCCTGGGCTTCATGAATGCTTGAAAGCATGGATAAGATGAAGGGAGAAGAAAGGGTTGAGTAATATCAAAGTTCGTTGGCAAGGCTTCAAAGCCCCCCAGGCCAATGCCGGTCCTTAAATTTAAGGCATGAAACAAGTTTTGTAACTTGCATAGTTTCAGAAATCTGCGGAGTTCACCTATTCCTGCTTGTTGCTCAGTGTGGGTTGTTCTTGGAACATTTTTTTTCTTTATCATTATGGCTTAAATAAATGCAGACTAAGCAAAAGATACTGCTGATAAACGCATTGAACATCATAGGAACCTGGAGGCTGCTCAGCCTAGTAACACTTGAAGAAAAATCCCAAACATGGAGATAGCAGAGGTTCCTGTTTCTACTGAGCAGTTGCTGAGGACGGATTTAAATGAAACAGCCTTTTCAAAATAGTGTAAGGCAAGCCAAGTGTCTCAGAGGTCCACATGTGCTGTGGAAAAGAGTGGCATCTACTTTGGTATGGACAGTAAGATCTGTGATTTTATTTTAGAAAGGAGTATTAATAAAGTGTGCATAGCTGCATTGCAGATAGTTTGCAAGATTGCAGGCGAGTACAGGCTGCTAGAAGTACATCCTTTCCCTCTAGTCCTTCCTCCCTTGTACCCCCCCCCTTATTTTTAGTATGTATTTTTTTGCATTCCAAGGCAAGTCTGGAATTATAAATACTTGGGTGTCTCTGAGGCTACTGGCTTGTACTGGAATTGGAGGCTGAGTTAGTGGAACAGAGGGAGAATCTGTGAAGGGTTAGCTGTCCTGTCCAACACTGTTTCTAAGCAACATGCATTAGGAAAAGCAAATCTTATTAAAAGTATCTAGAGGGCTTTGAGGACATAGTGTTCACCACCACAGGGCTTCTGAATTATCTCTAGGATACAAGGTTGAAACCTGTGCCATCAATTATGGCAATTTTGCCTGGCTGACATTGTTCAACATCAACACAGTTTTAACCTCAGCGAACTTAAGGGAGCTACTTCTGAACTGCATTCCAGAGAAGAAATCCCTGGTTTGAATTTTACCTCTCCCATGAGTTGCTTTGGTAGCCTTTCATTAATGTGTTCTTCATTCCGCTAAGCTGCAATATGGGCATAATAATAATGGTTTACCTTTCAGAGTTATTTTCTGTATTCTTCCAACTTAAGTACTGCATGCAAAGTACCTCAGAGAAGCAGAAATGGTACACAAATGCCGTTATCAGGAGAAAACCATTTAACAAATAAAAATCTGGATCCTGGCTGAAACCTGAAGTCACCAGCATGGTGATTGCTGCCTGGCCCAACGCTTTTTCCTCTGTTTCCAGGGACCCCTGTGAACCGAATCCCTATTATGGCCAAGCAGGTGTTGGATCTTTATATGCTCTACGTTCTGGTGACTGAGAAGGGAGGCTTGGTGGAAGTGATCAACAAGAAGCTGTGGAGGGAGATCACCAAGGGTCTGAACTTACCCACCTCCATCACCAGCGCTGCCTTCACACTGCGCACTCAGTAAGTCACAGAAGGATGTTCGGGAGGAGTCTTCCCCAGTCTGGCTTGGAATTATAATTTAAACACATTGGGAGGACCCCAAGTTGGGGAAATCTGAAAGATTAAAAGGTGCAGAAAAGGGTGGGTGAGGCTTTTATGGAGCAATATTTGTACAGGGAAAGAGTAAGCATTTGTTTTAGTGGAAAAATGACTGAAAGAGTAAGGTCTGCAACATGCATGAAACTATACAAGAATGAATGGAGAGAGTGGTGGGAGGATCTCCCACTCCCTCCAGTAAGAAAAAGACTACTCCCTGTTACCCAGTGAAACTGACCGGCTGGAAGTTCCCCAGTCTGGGGAATGGCCGTGCTGATTTGAGATAGTGGGAGTTGTGTTCAATATATGTGGATGGCACCAGGCTGGGAATGCTTGCCCGTCAGATTGCAGCCTGTAGGGAAGACCAGATTTAATCTTTTTTTCCCCCAGAATTTAAATCTATGTAGAAAAGTGACCAGTTCTAGTACATTAAAGGGGTTTAGGAATAAGTGTATCTTGATAACCATTACCATATTTTGTGAAGTTGAATCAGAATAGAAGCTTCCACCTTGGTCCGTCTTTCCTCTCTCTCTCTGACTTCTTTCAGTTCCCTTCCCCCATCTTTTCATCCACCCTAATCAACACTAAAGTTAATTACTCTGGAATTCAGAAAACCAGGTGGCGGAAAGGGATTTGGGATGGGGGGAGAAGTGGGAGGAGAGCTATTAACTTTTTAAAAGCTGGGAGCCTTTAAAAGAAAAACACCAACATTTTTTCACCATTAATGCGGATCTTGGAAAAGGAAATTTCTGGATTTCGTAGCATATTAACCTGAGCGTCTGGTAAACAGGGAATTTTGATCTAAAATATTTATTTGAGGCACTCCTCAGTTTAATAGGCTCCCAGAATAGCTTCCAGAACAATGAAAATCAGACACCTCCATACTGTCAGTCTTGCTATCTTTAGAAAAAAGTAAAAAGGCAGAAAAGCCAGTGGGATGGAATGGGAATCTTAAAGTCTTGTTAAAACAACAAGGTTCCTTATTAGCATGGCTATGAATGTTACATAGCATTTCAGTGAAGACTGTAAATCCATGGCAGAGGAATCAGCAAATCAGAATTGGTCAGATGTACCAGAAGGGCAAAAGTTGAAGGAGAAATATTTTGAAGGGGGGAGGGGGGAATAAATCTGCTAGCTCCAGGATTACCATTATTTTCTTTAATTTTGGAAACAAAATCAGGAAAATGAAGATATAGCAGTTCCAAAGCATTTCCAATCTGTCCTTTTTTGGTGGCATTAATATTAATGGAAGCCTTCCCCCAATTGGAATTTTCCAGAATAGTGGGGACCACAACTCCCAGAATTCCCCAGCCAGTATTGGAAACATTGTGCTATGGAATCAGAGATTTCCACAGCCAGAAGGAGGTAGCTTTGGAGGGTGACATTTTCCTTGATTTGGAATGTATAATTTACTCACCACTGATTCTTCTCCCCCAACCCAGCTGGATTGCTCTGCTCTTGACTGAAATGCATGTGGTGGGGTTGTTTTAATGCCTTTATTAAGTGATTAGTTGTTGTTTTTTTTACTTTCAAAGCCTTATCAAAACTTTTCAATTGTATCTAAATTAACAATACAAAGTAACAGTTTAAATATAATCATTGTAAATAAAAAATTGGAGAAGACTCTTGAGGATAGCTCCTTCATGGATCACTGCCTTGTCGTGGCGAAGGGGCTTGCGTAACTCAGTGAAGCCAT